TATTAGCTCAAAGCAAATTTCAACCTATACGACACGTGTTATGCATTCTTCATATTAATTTTCTTCTCCTATTCATCATGGCTTCCAGACATAAAAGGAAAAGTCAAATGACCTACCCACAAAAAGACCAGCAGCCGTATCAACTGGGAGCACTCAAGGAACAATACCATCACCAACTCAAGATGTGAATGGTGAAAGCATGCATAGCAACAATTATGCCTACTATCGAGAAAATGTGTAGAGAAATCTTATCACAACAGACCGTAGGTATCTTCTGCAGCCACAAGCTATGCAGCTGCAGCCACAGTCGCCTTACCCACATCAGGAAGAGACAACGATGCAGAAGGAACTACTAGCGTACTACAATCTGCCCAGTCGTTACTGAGAAACATCACAGGAACCTCCCCATCATTAGGAACTAATTAGATCTCTGAACCCATACAAAACATCTGCAACCTTACTCACCATTGGTATGGACGAAGAAACTCGGACCAAAATTCATACTGGGGAGTATATAAGGTATTCATCCCTATTGCCCTTAGACTCGAGCTCACAAGCCAAGAACAATTTTACATCAGTCGATCAAGACGGAAAGTTGATATTTCTCAAATTAAATGAAAAAGAGTGAAAAAGACCTTATAAAACAATTTCGAAATGTACTAAAACCTACCATATATTAGGCTATATTAGCTGAGAAATACCCTCATGAAATAGGCAATGTAATGCTGCATGCTCAAATGGTAAAAATAATTGCTTAGTCATATGGGGATCAAGCTGTTCTCGAGTACGACAAAAGGCTGCACCGTTGGAGAAAGAAAGACCGATCTACACGTCCTTGGCAGCACAGAAATGCAGAGCTTTTCCAGGATGCTCTGGTCTTGTCAAACCAGACAAAACCCCAACGTTTGTCAAATCTGTGCAGGTAAATATTGTCGAAAACTCAGCCCAAAATTTAAACAAAACAAATCAAAACAAATCACCAAGAATAAAAGCTCGAGTACCTTCAAGCCCCCCACCTCAATTAAAAGAGCAAAATGACAACTTCTTTAAAACACACTATCTTAACTGACTACTTAGTAAGGTATGACCGCACATTGTCAAACTTTTTAATTGAAAGTTTTAAATTTGGATTTAGAATCCAATATCAAGGGCCTAGACACTTTCGCTTCTCTCCAAATGTGCCTTCCATTACAGAGAAAGAATCTAACCTGAAACAGAGAATTCAACAAGAATTGCAGAGAACTCGCTTAATGAGACCATTTATTGAACCCCCTTTCCCTAACATGCAAGTCTCTCCACTAGTCTTTGTTCCTAAAACATCGCCGGGGGAATACTGAATGATACACAACTCTTTCTTTCCAGAGAGTCCATAAACCACCATACTCCACATGAATTCTGTACTTTGCAATACTTGTCAGTCCAAACTACTATAGAAATCATAAAACAATTAGTAAGACATACCTTTTAACCAAGACTGATATTGAAAATGCATATAAACAGATTTCTATACATTTTGATGATTTTGTACTGGTAAACAGTCACTCTTATTATGATAAGACACATTATGGGCTTAGCTATGCATGTAATTTGTATGAATAATTTAGTACCGCATTTCAATGGATTTTAAATTTTAAGTTTTCAATGTCCCACTGTGTCCATATATTAGAAGACTTCCTCTTCCTAAGACCACCACAATCGCTCAAGTGCTACAGCGCACTCCTGGTTTTTGCAAAAGATGTAGGGCATCAGTGGCGGATTTAAGGGGGCTGCACTCCCCTCCCTCCCCAAACTGTCAAAGTTAGCTTAAATCACAGTTTCGTCGAGAAAATGTAAAAATGTCTACTTGGTAGACCTCTTTTTACCCTACAAAATCTTCAGAATCCAGGAGCTTCAGGGGGGCTTCGCACCCCCTCACCCCCCCACCAGCGCTTCGCCCTGGACCCACCGGGGCCTCTAGACGGCCCCCAGACCCCCTGTCTACTTTTGCGCCCTCCCTAACTTCAATTCCTGAATCTGCGCCTGGGCATCCAATTTAACTAAAAAAAAAAAACAGTTTACCCAACAACATGTACCAAATTAAATTGTAGGTCTCGAGTTTGTAGTTCAAATCATTAACAAAAATACATCAAAGGACCCCAAACCTATGCAACTAATGAGACTTTTTATGATTTTGTCCCATACACAATGCTAACACATTCAAGGGGTAGCCAATATGGCTGCATATTTGCTTAATTTCTCGACAACAGGTCTCAGTATTCAGAAATAGGTACTCCCATATAGTCAGAGAACAAACACCAGTTCATCTTTCTTTAGGAATTTGAGTCAAACTATTACCTTGCAGCTTGCTCAGACATTCACAACCTCAGCTGATAAGTCAGTTTTCCAAACTTATAAACAATTTGTAGAGCTTTTCCCAAAGAATGCCCCTTTCCACATCCCTACAGCTTCTTTCGCCTTTTATAGTCCATAGCTACATGTGTCTTAAGGGATCAGCTGTCTCTACAGTACACAACCTAGTATCTGCTCCAAGTTTCAGATTTCCGCTAGGGGATTTTGCAGATATTTCATTGTTAAAAAAATGTTACAATGGTTCAAGAAAGTTAAACCATCATCATATACTAGGCTCCCAATAACTCTTAATATTTATACCCCCCGCTCCGAAGGAGGGGGGTATACTGTTTTACCCTTGTGTGTCTGTCTAGCTGTCTGTGCGTCCGTGTGCCTGTGTGTCTGTCCTTAACAAATTTTTTGTCGCAGTTTTCTCAGCAACTACTCATCACAGATGCTTGAAATTTTAGCACAATTTTATTTAGGCATGCCATATGATCGGATTAATTTTTGTTCGAATCCGATGTCACCTTCCTGTTTCTTCGTTCATCTATCGGTAACAAAATTTCATCGCAGTTTTCGCAGCAACTACTCATCACAGATGCTTGAAATTTTAGCACAATTTTTATTTAGGCATGACATATGGTGGTATACATTTTTTGTATGAATCCGATGTCACCTTCCTGTTTCTCCGTTCCTCTGTCCATAACAAATTTTTGTCGCAGTTTTCTCAGCAACTACTCATCACAGATGCTTGAAATTTTAGCAAATCTTTGTTTAGGCATGTCATATGGTGGGATACATTTTTGTTTGAATCCGATATCACCTTCCTGTTTATTCCTGCGTCTGTCCGTACCAAATTTCCGTCTCAGTTTTCTCAGCAACTACACAGCACAGATGCTTGAAATTTTAGCACAATCTTTGTTTAGGCATGCCATATAGTGGGATTCATTTTTGTTTGAATTCGATGTCAACATGAAAGTGTATATTCACATCAGAGCGGGGGTATAACTAGTGAGCATTAGCTCACAAATTTCTTGTTTAAAATCTCTTCTCCTGGCTTTCGAACACACAACATCCTCATTCTTCACAAAATTGCCGTCAAGAGCTATTGTACATTCTTACGTATAGGGGCATGTATACTAGACCCTCTGGTGCAACACAACACAACTTTTATTTAAAAATGCAGCACTAAAGTCAGAGACACAACATGAGCAATACCTTGAAATAAGCATTCCCTACTTCAAACATGCAATGTCTCCTACCTCTACAATACGAATTCATCGAAATAAAACGAATTCCAACCTTTGTCCATACCAGTCTCTTATGCAATTATATCTCAATATTAGGAAGCATGACTCACCATCCCAGTCACTATTCTCCTTCATGGATGATGTCCCTGTATCAGGACAGTTTTTTATCCAACAACTACGCTTAGCTCTATCATTTTGCAGCTTTTAAATATGATTCTTTTTGGCAGAATAACTGTATGATAAAAATTAATACATAGAGGATATTCAATGTTTTGTAGTTGGATATGGAATTTATTTCACAAATGGGACAGGATTTTTTATGTATGAAAAAATCAAAAAAATCATGTCTCACGAATTTTCTGTTTATTAAATTTTCTTTGATTTTCCCTTTGCCTCTGTCTTTTCTTAACACAGTGTCATAGGCTGTGGCGTCATAGTTGAGCAGTTGAGACGTTATAGCTTGCAAATTGTGAGATTGAAAGCATTGTAACATGGATTTTAGCATTATATTTGGGAAGAAATTGGCAGTTTTAATCTCTATCAAGATGGTGTAGTTACTATCTCAATCTTATTATAGGCCAGAAATTATATTTTACTTACTTTGATATCCTTTCACACTGTGAAAGAATATCACTTTGGTATCCTTTCACACTGTGAGAGAATATCACTTTTATTCCATGAAAAAATCACAGTATTTGAGTGTTATATATGAAGTGTTTAATTTATAGGCGTACTGGTAATGATCTGCAAATTGCTATCAATGATTGCTTCTTTAAACATGTAAGATAATAAATAACATAAAATGACCTAATGAATCTTACTCTGAACTAAAGTTAATGTCTTCAATGTGTAAATACAAAGGATGACTGGTCGCCCGCGTGGCGAAGTGGTGAGAGCGTCTGCTCTAGACTCGCGGAGTAAGGAGTTGATCCTTACGTCGCGGGTTCGAATCCCACTGTGGGACATTGAGACCGGTCCTTCGGATGAGACCGAGCTCCCGTGTCGCAGTAGGTGATGGCATGAAATAGATCCCTCACTGCTCAATGTCCCTGAGTGCCGAGTATTTGTAAAAATTTGCAGCTCTCCACCGGCAAGTAGTGGCGTCTCCATATGAGTGAAAAATTCTCGAGAGGGACGTTAAACAACAAAAAAAAAAAAAAAAAAAAAAGGATGACTGCACTTATTAAGGACTTATGAAAATGGCGATAGAATAAATTTTCAATTTTGTTCCACTTCCCAGTGTCTATTTTAGACACAATGCCTAGTATGCGGAAGCGTAGCATCACCCCATATTCATTCTGATGAATAGAACTATATCTATAACATTAATGATAAGGAAATAAAAGTATTGTGGTACATTATTTATTATTTTTATACCATTAGGTTTAGATGTGACCACAACATTCCATAGCAAATATATTTACAATTATACAAAATGCCCGACGTCATTGCGTGGAAAGGTGTCAACATCTGAAACAGCCTACAACATTACGTAAGTAATTTTAACAAAATATTTCCGTCTGCGAATTGACCGAACCAGTTTTGTATGCACCTGGAAATATTTTTTCCATGACCTGTTTTTCTTTGAGGTTTCTTCTAATAGAGATTGCTTCATTTTTGAAAGAATTATGGACTTCAAATTCTCCTTGTAAAAAAAGAGTAAGAATGATGATTTTTTTTGTTTTACATTCATATAATAGTTATTGCTTTATAGGCATGGCCCTCTTGGAAAACACAGTAAAATCACAAGCATAATCTGGCAAATACTCGTACATGTTTTGTTCACTAGAAAAATCAAAATGCTTCTCTGTATCAGAATGTCCACCACATGACACTGAAATGTTTGCTTTGGTGTGTGTGGGTAAGACTCAATCGGGTACAATATCCATAGCGTTCGACTCATTTCTTGTTCTTTCCTTACAACTTTCGTAGATTTTTTTCTCGTGGATAAATTAAAAACTTTCTTGATATGTTTATTTATGAAATTAAACGATCCCACTGTAGATTCTAAAACATAAAATAATAACTCAACTTGAATCTTTCAACTTCGAAATTATAAACTACAAAGTAAAATTTTAACATCTAATGACAATACTTTTGTTTCTTTTCCTCTTTTACTTCTCCTTTGTTTTCTGCAGAAGAGAGACATTGTTACATTTCATCTAGATGAAACATATATCTCGAATATCAATTTGAAGAGACGTCGAATCATTTCAAAGAGGGGCACTAACAACGCAATTATACTAAAGAATCCGAATAAATTTTCTTATCATAATGGCCCTGTATCTTGAGATAAATGAGCTCCACGAACACAAACACTTGTAACAACTGGAGTAAATTCTTTATGTCTTCTAAGTCGTAATAAATACTTCAGAAAAGCACATATCTTCTTTATTAAATATATACCGTATTTGAATTGGCTGCATGTGAAAATAAGTCTCTCAAAGCATGGTTGTTGAAAATTTTAGAAATCCAAGAAAAATGCGCGATCCCCGCTTAAAAATGTAACGCGTGGCATGCGTAAAATATTTTACATTTGCACTGAAAAATAGTATATTTTGCAAGAAGATCTATCTAAATTTATTCTCTGACTGCAATCATGAGAAGGTATTGTTTCAAACCAGAATAACCCATATTGCGAACATTGTTTTGAAATGGGATTAATAGCTTTGGTACTTAATGTGTAAAATGAACACGAACATCGCGCGCAACGTCGATAATTTCATCGTTATCTAACTCAATTAACGACTTTTTCAGGTGATATTTTTACTATATGTTTTCACAAGGAGGCGCAAAAAACTTTAAACATTTAATATAGAAATATAAAAAGGAAATAAGATCAGGCAGATATTTACAAATTGTGAAATAGATTAACCAAACCATTCTATTTCTTTACAGTCATGTCTAACCACAGGCACATGAATTGTGGATTGATCCCCCCCCCCATTAAATAATAAAAAAAGTAATAGTTTATAATTTCTCAAAAATGTTTTATCATCCCGTCAGTTACATCCATATGTCGTTCTAAGCAAGCAGATTGTACTTTTTCTTACTTTTAGAGATTTGCCATGTACGATGTAATGAAAAGGTAAGAAACACGGTGAAATGAAAAGGTAAGAAACAGATTTCATAAACGATGTTCCCCGCTTCGAGACATATTTCCAAGATAATAACAGTGTTACCTATCATATTTTTGCATGCAAGCTGTCGGGAAGATGCTCTCCTACAAGTCTCTTGGACCTTAACCCTATTCTTGGTGTTTTATATGCTGTAATGGACGATTTATTAATCGGAAAAATAATTTTTTCTTCATTGACAGCAATAAAAAAGGTGGTTTTGGCATTATCACTTCATCTGATTGGTTTACAGTTGAAGATTTAAAATTATTGACTAATCAGATCAAACAAAACAGATCGGTGTACATCAGGACCTCCTTTAAAGCTGTCAATGGAGAAAATGTTATGTATCCGTTCGATCACGGCATATAAACACTAAGGACGGGGTTTAGGTCAAAGAGATTCTCCCCAACTCAATGCTTGCAAAAATATGATAGGCAACATTGTTATCTTGGAAATATGTCTCAACGCAGGTAACCCCCCCCCCCCCCCCACTCCGTTTGTTTATAATTTTTGTTTCTTACCTTGTGCATTTTTATTATACCATGCATGGCCAATCTCTAAACGTGAAAAAGTACGATCTGCTTGCATAAATCTAAGTTAAGGTGTGATTGACGGGAAAATCTCATATTTTTGAGAAAGTATAGGCTCTTACTATTTTGTTTTAATTCAGGGAGGGGGGTATCCACACTTCAGGTGCCTGTGGTCTAACGAGTAAGGATAATTAAATAGTCATGTATGGTTTAATACATCAGCAAGAAAAAGTATGCATTGATTACACAGTCAGTTTTACTGCATCAAAACAGGGCAGTGTCAATGCATCTGGGGATTTTTTTTTTTAGAAACAGTGAATACCATAATGATTTTTATATAACTGTAAGAAGACATTTTTTGCATTTATAGTACATTTAGCTTGTTAAGGATAAATAACACATACTTTTTTTTCTTCAAAAATCAGCAATATTTCTCATAGATTTATATTCAAATAGGTAACCTGAATAAAGTTTGACAGGTAAAGTGGGAAAACTTTGTTAGATTTTTTCACAATGTTAAAAACATGTGCAAAAATATGTATAGTACTATATAGAAAACAAAACAAAGTCGCATATTTGAGCATCAAAGAAAACTTAGGGATTTATTATTTATGTAATTTCTATTCAAAGTCAGCCAAAAAATATATATCAATCCTGGCATCGAATTTTTGTTTGTGTTATGGATCCTTAAGTCTTTATGTGCCGTCATAGCTATTTTTCCGTAGGCGGAAATATCTAAACATGAAGCATTTTTATCAAGCATATGTCTTGTGAATACTGAGATCAGCTTCACCCTTCGATATTACCACAGTTAATCATTAAATGAAGGACTCCAGTTCAATCGTAAATGTTAAATATTGATTTATAGAACTTTTTCGAACGAGTTTGTTGGTTTTTAAATGCATAATTTCTCCAATACAAATTAAAAGCTGGCATAAATTTATATATATATTTTTGGCATATTTTTGGTTGTATCCTCAACACTTTGCGTTGTCATTACACATAATTCAAAACGGAAATTGCCGCTTTGCATTTAAGATATCTTAAAACTTAAACGAAATTGTCATGAACTATAATAGAATATAAATCTATAATATTCTCTTAAATATAAAATCGTTTCCTGTTCAAAATAACGATGTTATGTCGTGAAACCCTTGACATAGATAGCAACAGACATAAACTTTAATAGATAATTCTTAATGAAGTTCAAAACTGTCTCTAAATAGAATCCAATAAAAAACAAGCCAAATATGCTTTGCATGCTTGTCATGGCCGTTTAATAGTTTTTTGAGAAATTGCATATATAACACAATTTATGTGACGATTATCGTAACATGGAAGCATAAGGGGAATGAGTATATATAATGTAGGTATTTGATCCAAGGAGCCTGAAAAAAGCACGCCCCAGGAGATAGTATTTCATGCCAAATTATGCCTATAAAACAGCCAACAATCACATGAGAACGGAATTTTTTTAAGACTTTTTGTTTTGGATAAGATCTTTTTCATACAGGTTCGTGAGTCGATATCTTAAAGACAAAAATTATTTTGTTCTCAGTTTTAAAATCACACTATTCTGTTCAGAAAAGGCAAACATTTCAAAAGAAAACTTTATATAGAGTGGTCATGGATTTGAAAAGATTATGCCCCAGAAGATGTTAACTGCAATCTATGATCTGTATTATTGTGACCGTGAAATAAACTTAATAAAGTACAGTTACTGTATAAACATATTTAGTTTGTTATATTTACAGACATAGGCACTTACACATAGAAACTTCTGTATCGCTTGCAGGGCATGACAGATATATAGGGGTCACTTTGTCATCTTACTGTCCATGTGTCTTGAAGGAGTAGCAATATCACAGAGCAGATCTGGACCGCAGTGTGAATTAAGAAAACAAATTCATACAAGGAAATCTAAAGTATATGTCACCATGGGACTTATAGTTTCTCGGAAATAGACCTGCTCCGCGTACCGAAATAAGCTTCTTAAGAAGTGAAATTCAAGGGTGTTTCGGATGAGACCTCAAAAACCGGGGTCCCGGTAGGCGCTGGCATGATAAGGAACCCTCACTGCTCAATGGCCTTAAGTGCCGAGTATAGGTCTAAATTTGAAGCCCTTCAGCTGCATACGTTGACATCTCTATGTGAGTAAAAAATTCTCGAATGGGACGTTAAACAACATACAATAAACCAATCAATCGGATGCCTTATTTCCCTACAGATGCCTAAGAGAAACCACACATTAAATGAGCCAAGTGTATTAAAAAATAAACATTATTACAAAGAGAGTAATGATAAACTTGGGTGATTGGTGTCAAAACATTGTTGCACTTTTTATAGCCAAAAAGGAAGAACAACAATGAAAAGTAGAATCAGAGAGAAAGCTGTCGTCTTAATATTGCAAATTGAAGTTAGAGCTCTAAACATGTCTTATACATGTTTTCTCTTCAGTCAAAGGGTCCGATAATACATGAACCTACGCACAAAGGAAGGATTATCAATGTTTTTATGTTAGAATTGCATTAAGGAAAGTTCAGCAGGTTTTCTGTGACAGAAGTCCAAATACCGGTTTGTGGGTTAATTTTCTTGTGCTTAACAAGGCTGCTACAAATAAGCATAGAGATATAAAAGAAAGTTTGAAGAAAGGAATGTTTATTACAGAGCTTAGTAATCCTCCATATTCACTAGATTTCATTCATTGTGAAGTCTTTTTATTCCAATAACAAGGGAAGATCTTACAACTCTTCAATTGAGACTTTACCAATCTTCGTGTCATAAAGATTGGTATTCATCAGTGCCTTTTGAACTTCCTAAAAAGAGTATGCTGAGGTGTTATGGGTACAAAGACTTTAGACATGAAAAGATCAACAGGGAATACTTTGAGGGATAAAAAATATTTTTTTAAAACTTCTTTTGGGCTTTTTCTTATTTATATATCGCATTTTGCATTACTTACTGTACGACCTTTATATATCTGAAAGTCGAGTTGAAGGCCACTGTAAGTGTTTTCCTATTCTCATGCAGGGGTTTTTGAATAAATGGGAAAATAAAAACAATTCAAGTCGGCTAATAAAGGAGCATAGTCAGTGCCCACCTAAATTTCAACAGTTTGTGGTATTGATTGATTGATTGATTGTATGTTGGTTTACGTCCTGTTCGAGAATTTTTCACTCATGTAGAGACGTCACCATATACCGGTGAAAGGCTTCAAATTTAGACCTTCACTCGGCACTCAGGGCCATTGAGCAGTGAGGGTTCTTTATCGTGCCAACGCCTACCGTGACACGGGGCCTCGGTTTTTAAGGTCTCATTCGAATGACCCGCAACTTTCACAAGTGCCGAGTGCTTGGCGAAGGAACAGTTGCTACCTATTTTTTATCGACTTAGGTCAGACGGAGCGAGCGCTCTACCGACTGAGCTACCGTGACGGTAACTGTTTGTTGGAAAACCTAAATGAGAAGGCATAATCATGTTATATGAAAAACATTTAGCTTGCCCTGTAAATAGATAAATCTATTTAATTTTCACTAGCAATTAAGGATGATTTTGTAGTACTTTAAACCCTTACAAGGATAGCATCGTAATTCTTTAATATGAAACTTCAATTTATACTCAAATTGATATGACGTTTCAGGGAAAATATATATTATGTAATAACTGTATCGACCCAAGAGGGCGGCATATAGAGTTTTATTACAACACACTACCAGAAAAAACATTTAATTTTTTTTAAAATCATAATGCATTGATACACATAAAAACATAACTAACGGTATTTTGTAGATAAATATGTTAAATCTAGTTAATTATTTAATGTAGTTATTCTCTGGGTTTTTTTTTTTTTATAAAACGAAGAATGCAACCCAATCGTCATATCCTTCCCTGAGCTGTCTTTTTACTCACATGACATAACGACTTGATCTGGACGATTTAACTGGCCTATTACTCTCTAAATCCTCTGCTCCTTACTTACTCATAACAGATATAACTTAAATTAAAAGACGATACCAATAAACCACGATCCTTAAAGTAGGATGATTATCATTTTCTTCATGTTTATAATAACAGTGGCAAGGAAGGAAGTAAAAAAAAAAAGCTAACACACAAGTGCATATTCATTGAGAGTTTATAATCAAGGAACTGAGTGGAGATTTGGGTAAGAACATTAGCGATGTTTGGATAATATTTAAAAGCTAACACACAAGTACATAATTTTTATTCATTGAGAGTTTATAATCAAGGAACTGTGTGGAGAGTTGGGTAAGAACATTTGTTTGGATAATATTTATTTTCATAATACAATAGCGTGAGTCGGTATCTTTGTTCTCGTTTTCTAAAGCATCCAATTTTATTTAGGTCAGAAAAGGCAAAAATCCAAGAGGCACATTCCACATCATCATGGATTTGAATGGAGTTTTGCGTAAGAAAACAAACATTTTATTATTTATAATTATCATACTAGAATTAATGGCACAATATGAGTATAATTTAAGGACACCTTCAACAAAAGGGGAGCAATGACTGTTGGTATGAATGTATATTATTTGTTTTTATATGAACAATTTTACGAACTGCAATGCAGTCATTATCAAAGCGGTATGATCTGTATTTTTATTGATTTTCCGCTAGGTGATTTGGGAGTTTCTTTGTAAAAATGACTTCCTTAAGATCATCTAGATTTGAAGTTGCGCAGTGGTAAGAGCGTCTGCTCTAGAGTCGCGGAGTAAGGAGTTGATCCTTATGTCGCGGGTTCGAATCCCACTGCGGGACGTGGAGACCGGTCCTTCGGATGAGACCGTATAAACCGAGGTCCCGTGTCGCAGTAGGTGCTGGCACAAAGATCCCTCACTGCTCAATGGCCCTGAGAGCCGAGTAAAGGTCAAAATTTGTAGCCCTCCACCGGCAAGTGGTGGCGTCTCTATATGTGGGAAAAATCCTCCAGAGGGACGTTGAACAACAAACAAACAATCAATCAATCAATCTAGATTTGATGCTTTACCTAAGCATTTAAGGAAGCAAAGACTTCATGAATATTTATTATCAAAAGGCAATTTCTCAGAATAAACGAAGAGAAAGTAATCTTCTCCATCAAACTAGTCGCAAAGTTACCGGTCATATAACAGGAGATTAAAAGGCATATTGAGTGCCTTTGGCATTAAGGTAGTATAAAACAGGAAGGCCAAATATTTCCTTAAATTCTACGAAATTTTGATTTAAGATACAAAATTCCTCCTCATATATAATAGGAAATAAATTCAGTCACACATTGTTTTGATATATAGCCTATCAGACCCCTGTAAGAATAGGGTGAAATCATACATGAGAAAGTGCATTGTTTAAAAATAACCATTTGATGTATTACAAATGTGTGTGATGCTGTTTATAAAGGTAAATTTTGTCAATATATTTCAGTAAAATATATTGAAAACGGAATATTTGAGTACAGTGATATATAAATAGAAACATGGCTCAGGAATTTCAAATTCATACGGAAATATGCTACACTTTAAGACCTCTTTCGAAGAATATATAATTCAAATTTGATTTTATAAAAAAAAATCAACAGATTGATACTAATGGACCGAATATAAAATATGTCAAAATAAGGAAAATTGAACCATTGGTTTCAGATATTTTGGTGATTTAGAAAATTTCAATGTGAAAGAAATCAATAAATGACGTCATAATATTTGTCCTTTGATCTCTAAATATGACCTTGAACTTTATTGTATATAGGACGTGGGGGCTTCTTATCATATATCTTATCATATATCCAAATATCAGGAATCGAATACAAAGAAATTTTATCAAAAGTTACACCCTATGTAGTAATAGACGGTTAGATCGCATGAACATGAAATAAATAGACGCTTGTTAGACCATTTTTTCCATACTGAATTATTGACGGATTTTTCCGTATGCTTGATCTTGCATATGACGAGGAGCGGGTGTAAACGGTCGGCAGGGATGCTTACTCCTCCCTCTTATTGATCCAACCTTTGATGCTTTTAGAGGTCCGGACTCCCGTTTGTTTCAATGGACTTTAGAGCTTGATTACTATTCTTAATCTCTATATTCCACCCTAAAGGTAGGTTCTAGATTGTCCAATATATGGAATATTGATGACACACATTTGATTGGTTTTCATTCTTTTACCCTGCTGTGTTTTAGAAGAAGTAAAAACTGATTTCACGGGTGTTGTACTACCTAAAGTAATCGCATTATTTACAATTGCCAATACGAGGGTCGTTCAATAAATAATGCAATAGGTCATCTAAAAGTAGGAAAAGTGCGTAATACATACTAGTATTCTAAACATTCCCAAGCCTCAAAGCATTCCCTGTTATCCTTTACACATATCTTAAGTCTTTTTACCGATGACCAGAAAACCTCAGCATACCTATCTTAAGGGATGCCCCAAAGACACTGATGGATATTTTTCTCCTAGAAAACTTTAAGAAAATAAGGCACATATCTGATAAAAATATTATTATATTCATTTCCGTTGTCAGAATTGTATAAAATGTTATGACGGTGAAATACTTAGTATTCTAGCAATGTCTTTGGATGTATTCGGACATGTTCAGATATCATGTTGCACATTGCATCGATAAATTTTGGTGTCCCTACAAATTTTAATCGACCAGTTTGACTTTTATATTTTAACTCTCCTTTTTTTACTTTTGAATTTCTTAATCAATCTGAAAACTATACAGCGTTAAAGACAATTCTTTCAACTTATAAAAAATATCTTTAATATGAATTTTTCGGCAATTTATTTAAAGAAGCACAGTTTTTACATATTCTCTCATTTTCACCTTCTTGGCAGAGATCATTTTAAACAGTTTTCAGCTCAGTGTAGTGGCCATGCATACTTTAATAGTGAATTTCTTTGCACAGACAATAGGAAAATGGTGTTAGGGTCACTAACATGATTTACAGGTATGCAAATCAACGCAAGAGATTATGAGAGGTAGATTTACATAACTTAAATAACTTTGTTCGTGAGGGGTAAAAAATTCTTTCAATCTCATTGTCTGAGGGAATCAAATAAGAAAGAAAAACATTCCGGAAGGAAAACTAATATAAGCAAGAGTGTGTCAATGTGGGAAGGAAGAGGGTTGAGGGTAGAGACCGTAGAGTGGTTGCCGTTCCCTTCCTAGACAACTTAATATGTGTTTTGAAATGACCCATTATTGTCGTTTCATTAACTGTAAAGCTCAAAATTTTTATCGCAAAAGAGCTTCCGTATATTGTGCTATTGTAAAGGTAAGCCGTCCATTGTAAAAGTCAGCGCTTCTCGCAAAAGTCCATTATTAGTGAGTATTGGATCACAGACTTCTTGTTTCATTTGCATGTGTCCATCTGTATCCCTCCCTGTGATAATGCGTCATAAAAAAAGGTGAAAAAAAAAATTTATATCCATGTACACTATTTCGAGATAATTAACATAAATATGTCAAGATGTTATTTATTTGCCTACTACCTGCCAGCTTGGTGGATTCCAGCACTCTCTTGTTGTTCTTTACAGCAGTTAAACAATCATTTTATTTCTCTTTATAACATGTTATTTAGTAAATAAACAATAGTCTATAAGATTTATTCCTTTAGCTCTCTTTTTGTCAAGGTTTTGTCCTGTTCCTTGTGCCTTTGTCGCCAATGATTTGCTCTTTTGAAAGGTAAGATTATGTACCGTTTTTTTTTTTGAAAGATATTAGATTTTCATTTGAAGAAAAAATGTTATGCTAACTTTGAAAGTGTTATTAATTCGATTGTGTCAGTGTTGATGTTACAATGCAAGGAATTAAGGTATATCATAAATCATACATTCTGCATAAAGTCAGCATTTCCTTATAGAAAGAAAGTATATGTTAGGAGTAGTTTTTTTTCATTGATAATGAGCAAATCTAATAGATTGGCTAACAATCTGAAACAAGCTCCTGCTAAATATGCATGCAACAGTTATGGCCATTGTAATACAAAGGTCCTCACGTACTCCAGCTCCGAAATTTAATTGTTTTTTTTTTGTTTTTGTTTTTTTTATTATATGCAACCTCGTTACACGAAAATTCTTTTTTTAATATTCTCCAAAAAAAAAAAAAAAAAAAAAAAAAAAAAAAGAAAAAGATAATAAACAAACACGTTCGTATATCTTTTAATTTTATTTTTCAGAAAAGTTTGTCTAGAAACGGTATTGAAGTTTGGGTTAAGTGATGTTGCTTGCAAGTTCAAAAAAAGTTATTTGGAGGCGAGTTTCCAGGGTATTGCTTTAAATTTTTAGGTATTGTAATGGATGTATGATGAATTGAATAAAGAAATCGTGTCCTATGACGATGAAAGACAACTGTAATACAAATGGACCCTCTAATACCAAACGTTTTGCCCTTATTCAAGCCCTGTTTTTCTTTTAGAGCTACCTTTTGGAAGATTCCCTTGCAAAGAACAGTGTGCATTAAAAGTGGACTTGAATGACAAAAAGAGTGTTTTTAAAGTGAAGAACGTACACATTTTATTCAATAGGGATACATTAGAAACTCATCAGTGCCAATCTACACATGGAGTACATGGAGTTAATATTAAAGTGCATTGTTCCTCAAAAGACCTTAAAAGTATTTTATCATTTAGCAAGAAAAATTTTGGGTACCGTTTTCATAAGAAATTACGACTAAGACCAAAATATAATTTTTCAAATAAGCTTTGATTTTACATTAATTTGAAAATGGTTTTAATCTGTTTAAAAAAAAAAAAAACCTAAGTAAGATATTTTATGCAAGAAATCATTCATTTTGTAAGATTTCACAATCAACTAAACTTTTTGGTCTTAGTTTTAAGCTTTTTTGTAAAACTGGCTCCTGTTGTTTATTTATTAAGGTTTTTTTAGTCCTATATTTATACAAGTACTCAAAAGAATCTCAATCAGAGTAAATATATCACATGTTAAGTGGCTCAAAAACATTGCGTAGTTTTTGATTTTGATAATAAGTTCTTCTTTCCATTAAAAACATATTTATACATTCCAATATCTTTTTGATATTATTAATTGTGATACGGAATGTATATGGTTTTGGAGGTTTTTTTTTCTAAAAACAATTTGAAAATACTGTCTTGTATATCTTATATATCAAGGAATACCTTTGATATATTTATCTTAGAAGTAAAAAAAAAAAGCTTTTTCTCTTGTAATATAGCTTGTGTATTATTAAAAGAATCATGATTGAAAAATATGCAATTTGCCTAAATAAATGAATCAAAATAATAAGGTTTTCCCTCCCTATTTTCTGTCATATACAAATACAGTGTACTTAAAAAATACTAATTCGTTTAGATTATTTTGGACATGTCTGCTCAAACAATTCTGACATTTTGAAGCTGAACACAACCTACTCTAAATTAGGAGAAATGGGAACATGTGCATGTAAGGATGGATTTATCCTAGTTAACGGTAGTTGCAAAAAAGGTATGTTATAATGCATATGTGAAAGTACCTTGAGTTATATGTTCAATTACAGGTAATCGTGGATGTAAAGTGAAATCTAATGATATTTCAACAAAAAATAGACATTTTCAATCTAACACAATTGACATACTCATACTTCCCTACTTTTCTCCAAAAGATGGTTTGGTTCTTGGTGAAAGCTGTTTTGTCGATAGACAGTGCTCTGGTTCAGCAAATTCCAGAAATTGTTCGAAGAATAAATGTGATTGCCAGTCAGGGTATTATAATAAAAGTTCACAATGTTATCCAAGTAAGTGGATTTTACATGCTATGAACAGTATTTATATACGAATAACTATTGAGAAGGAATATGCTCTAAAAAGCTGGCGTTTAAAATAAAAGATCCATAGTTTGTTACATTAACTTAAAAGGTATTATACGCATGAGGAAATCTATAGCTTGTGATAGTCTTATTGAATATAAAGAAAGGAGCTGATATGATGATTTGTAATGAAATCTCATAAGTAGCTTAATCAAAATTCACTCACATATGCAATATTTCATTATTATTTTTTTTTTTATTTTTCACTAATCGTTGATATTATAAATAACCGTAAAGCATGAATAGATTTCAATATTAAACACATACGTCGAAATTTGAATTTGTGGTGATATAAAAACTCACAGAATTAAAAATTCAAGTTCATGATAATATAAATTGGTCAGCCTTTATTTGTTAGATATCATTTCATAACAAACATTTCCCCTGTTCCTTAGAGAATTTTTACACATAGTAACATATCATTACAAACATTTCCCCTGCTCGTTAGGGAATTTTTACACATAGTAAATCGAGGTGAATCGTATCATCTGTGGTAATTTGGGAAACTTTTTTTTATTCTTGTACCTTTTTATGTAATATATGTTAGAAATAGTTAATTCCTCACTATCATTGGAAGGAGCAAATTGTGAAAGACAATGCTCTTTATGTGACTAATATATGATCTTTTAGCTCAAGTGACGTTTTCTGATCAAAAAATTTGTCCGCTGTCTATCGTCATTGTCGTTGTGGGCACAGAATATTCATGAGAATATTACGATAGAGATGAGAGACGGAGATGATTACGGAATAGCAGCAAGTTTTGAGAGTTTTTCTTTTCAGATCTTGTAAAACAATTCTTTCTTAACTCTTTAGTACCAAAAACAGATATCCATCCAGCAAGGCACGCAAGTTTGTTCGGTCGAAGTCGAGTAAGTTGTTGAAAATCAAGTGCTGGACCTAACCACACCCCTTTCAAATATAGTAAATAATATTTGAAAAAAAATCAGCACGCCCTAAATTTCAATGAATCTGGTAAATAGGAAGTTTACATATATTTTTATCTCATAAAAAATCAGCTACAGACTAGTGCAAAAATGCCCGAATCGGGAAAAGAGATTCAAGACTTATTTTGCGTCAGCCATGTTTTGGCGTGAACCTCAACTGAAATACTGTTTCGACACCTGAAGTGATCCTCAGATAGTTCAAAAAGGAAGGTTCACTTTATCCAAAAAATGGTACTGTCCATAAACCAAGTAATTGACCAAATCCTATTTCAAACCATCAATATAAAGTGCAGACTTTTTGCTTTCATTTCCTATAAAAAAAATCTGATAGTCCAGGTATTAAAAACAGGCTATCTGAAATAGCAATGTTCTTGAATTTTGCAGAAAATAGACCTGTGTATTTGAGTATCTTCAACAATGAACTAAAATATGAGTCCATCCCTCGATCAAAAAAAAAAAAACAAAAAAAAAAAAAAACAAAAAAAAAAAAAAAACAAAACAAAACAAAAAAAAAAAAAAAAAAAAAAAAAAAAAAAACAACAACAAAAAACATGTTTTATAATCTTCAGAAACAGTTCTTTCATGATATGTAAGCACATTTCGGATCAGAGGTTGGGCTATTTGCAGAATAATGAAAAACAACGTAAACTTTTGGTTGTTTTTGCAGAAATATTCAGGATTTTAGGATAACGACGTATTTCATGATTTTATAATGTAAAGACTAGTGAGAAAACTACGTCATTTTTAAGATGCAGTCACTAAGGGTTCCAGAAAAGTTTAATGTATTGTGAACTAAAACGGAGCAGAGTTGATTTTCAGAAAATCGCTGGGCCAAAAAAAAAATGCTATTAGTGAACCTTGATCTTTGTTTGAATTATGATCCTTTGGTATTTGGTGAGGCTACAATGGGCGATCAAAGTTTTACATAGAAATATACAGGACAAGAATCTGCTGATGAAGAACAAGAATGATCATGGTTTCAGACGTGAGCTTTTGGCAAAGGGACCTCTTTTTTCTCTGATGCTGTATTTTAATACACGAAATCTTGTATTCATCTTTTAAAGGACATGCAAAACTGGGTAATGCTTGTGTTGACAATGAACAATGTTCTGAGACGACCAATAACAGCTGCTGTGAAAATTCAACTAAGATTTGTAATTGCTGTCCAGGATTCTATGTGGATCAAAGTTTTACACATTGTAAAAGAAATAAGTGTAAGAATTAAAGATGTGCTCAGAGTGTCACTTCATTTAATTTTCATTTGTTTCATTAATTTAAGAATATTATGAGGTGCTTAGAGAATCTTGTTAATTGATTATCATCAGTAGGTAGAATGTTGGAGAAACTGTTCACATAACATGCCACTCAATTTCTTTTATATTGTTTTATTATTAATATAGGTGGAATGGAAACTACAACACCCAATACTCAGATTGCTACATCTGAACCAAATTCAGAACATCAATTATTTGGTAAAATAGGATATTTTTTTCTTTTTTTTCTTTTTTTTTTTTTTTGCTGGCTCTTATGTGCCTTTGGCTCAGATGAACTTTCCTGATCGAAATTTGTCCGTCATCCTTGTGTCTGTTTTCCTTTCTTATTATTTAGTTTTCCAGAAATTAAGAACACTTGCAAGAAGATAGTCTTGGATGAAGTGAAGTTTGTTCAAATAAAGGGTCATGCAGCTTTTTGAGTGAGAAAATAAATAAATAGTAAATTCACGTAAACACGACTCTTTTCAATATCCAGTGGGTCAACATAAAATAAAAGCATGAGTTGGGAAGCGAAAGGGGGTTAAAATTTATTTATATATGATTCGAAAATCTTTGAAAATATCACTTGAGAGCAACTGTGCCAGAATCATTCAAACTGATACACAAGCCCATCCATGTAGTTTAAAATCAAAGGGGGAGTTTCGATAAGGTCGCTCAACGGCCCACTTTTTTTCATAAAAATAAATTTCGATTTATTTTTTCAAAACTAGTTTAGAATTCAAGAAAAATATATTAACGTTTGTTATTTACATTTCATAGGTTAATATGAGATGAATTCACAACGTAGCTGATACATACTTAGATGTACCCTCAGATCCGTTAACATTAGGCTTATGGGAAAATATAAGAGGGTGGCATTTAAAAATCGATGTTTAGAATATGAAGTGCATGAGGGACACTCACCTAATTTTTTTTCAGTAATTAGATATACTCTGCACACTAATTTCTTGAAATATGATGAGTGTCGCGTGTGCACTTCATATCCAAAAAATGAAAATTGCATAAAATTTGCATATCTAAAATTAGAAGCTCCTGGTTTCTTGATCTGACTCTGTGTTAAAATACTAGGCCAAAAGTAGCATTTTCTTTAAATCAAAGAAGATTCTCGATTATATTAACAGTAGAAAACATTATCGTATCCTATCTTCATTTCGACAGTTTTTTTGTCGCCAACGTATAACGTTAACGTCACATTTTTAGCTCACCTCCTTGAAGTTGGGGGAGCTTTCGTAATACCGTCGGCATCGGTGTTCCAGGTAAAGGTTTTTGAAGCAGATTTTTTTTTCAAGTATATCTATGCCCTATATTAATCAGAGTCACCTGATCCAGCGTGTTTCCTTGTCACCAGTCAGGTTTCAGATGCTGGATTTTTAGCCAAAGAATGTCCAAGTAAATGTTCTAAAAGCAGGTTTAAGTTTTTGGAGCAGAGCAGCTGAAAGCACTTGTTGACCAGACTTGCTTTATGATGCACACTACTATATTGCTTCAGATGCTGGATATGACCTACATTTCATTAATAAGTGAGCAGGTTAAAGATTTTGAAGCGGGTCTCATTCTTATATAACTATAAGCCCCATCGTGACCAAACTTGCATTAATGATGCATCTAGGATTGCACATTACCAGATATGGTTCAGATGCTGCATCTTTCTGACATTTCCCTACTGACTGAACAAAAAATAAGTTTTAGAGCAAGTCCATTCCTTAACGTTATTTATCATGCATAGTTATATTTTTGACTTTCTTGTAAATAGAAATCCACGCTCCGACATGCTAGAGAGGCGCCCATATATTTATGTGTGGTTGATATAGGAAACGTGGCTTGTTTTAAGTCTGGATGTCTAGGGGCATATGTCTGCTTGATTACGGATTAAACACATATCTTTGGCGTTTTCACATGTATTTCGAACTGCGCTCTGTTCTAGCAAATCATATATAATGAATTCTAGAACTCTCTAAATGAGAAGTGACTAGAAATGGTGTAGAAACTTAAGTATCTATGGAGATTTGAGAAGCGAGAGGAAATAAGTCCTGGCTGGGATTCTCTCAGTTATGCTGAAAACATAATGCAGATCTATGTTGGCAAATACTTATAAGTTTCATAATGAGAAGGAAAATTTAATGTATTATAGATTACGTATCATGATAAAATATTTTTGACTGTAATCAATATCATTCATATCATCAAATACATTGCAATATACAGAAGCCAGTAGGTGCAAGGTAAAAAAAATATGTTATCTGTCGGCCGCCAGATAAGTTTCTGCCATTGAAATATCTGGCGGCCGCCAGATAAAATTGTAGCGTTTTTGCCAATCAAGTTGTAGCACCCAATGATATACCTCAAAGCACTTGATTGACAGAGGTACACAGACCAGGTATTTTTGAAGGCGGTGCTTAAAATCTCTGCCTTTAAGGAGGCTGGGGGGTCAACAAATTAACCATCAGATATAACTTATTTTTTTAGATATGATATCTTAAGCTGTCAACTATTAGTTGGCAAAGAAAAATTTCATACATTTTTGTTTTAAAATTTGATCATTTTTGTATATCTTTATATGGAGCTCTTCTTCTGAAGGAGATCAATATAGTCTGAAAATGGCCACAACCCCCCCCCCCCCCGCCATATTAACGACATCTACAACTTCTCTTTGAAGTCAAATCTTGAAGTTTCATGCCTTATTAGCAAAGATAAAATCTACACTTCATACAAAAATTCACTTCATAAGGTCTTCACCTCATAACTTTAGATTTATGTTTTATTAGATTACATGTCTACACCGCAAGGAACGTAAGTTTCTGGTCGACGTCAGTCATTTATGTGGTGGCCGCAGGAAAACTATTTGGCCGCCGCCAAATATATTTTTCTAGCGGCCGCCGAATAGTTATGTGGCGGCCGCCAGCTAAAATATTTTTCTTACCTTGCACCTACAATGTACTGGCTTACCTAGCAATATGATGCTTTTAAGTAAACTTTTTATTCATGTATGTATATAAAATTGCATTTATTTTTTAATCTTTTTATTTCAAAACATGTTATTTAATTTCAATTTTATGATATTAGGGTATATTTTTATAAAACATGTAGTTGTATAACCTTATTGATGAAAATGTAGTGCATATACCTGTATATGACGTTTTTACATTCACCTATCTCATGTCTACATATCTTTTCATTTACATTTTTCGTATGGGAAAATGTTAAATATTGGTTATAAAGTTTATGTATAAATTGTCGATTAATTATGATGTAAAATCTTTCTATGTATTTTACGTTTCATAAGTTAAATCCATCCTCTTTTAAAAAAAAAAGTAACATTTGACACACCAGAAAAATATCGCACCTTAAAAAAACATTCGCATAAGATAAACACCATTTTCCGTAAAAAAAAAAAAATGTTGAGATTGGTTAATTTATGTCTTTATTCATATTTATCCTTATTTCATTTACGATTTTGACGGTTAAAAAATCCACTTTCCCCCTATGAAAATGTTTACTCCCAAAATATACGAAATGGGGGTATACTTAAATTTTCAATTATCACGTGACCGGAAAATGCGTAACATAAATCATTTTCATATTTTCAGGAAGATTAGAAGTTTTTCTACAAAATATCAAAATTTCATAAAATTTCGTGAGGGGCCGAAAAACGGCCTTATCGAAACTCCCCCTTTGTTCAAACCATGGCCTTTGAAGTTAGGGTGAGCTCGTGAACAATAAGGCTTCTAAATTATAGAAAGGAAAAATCTGAATAAAAACATCAATACTGAGTAAAGTATCTTTGTGTAGTACGTGTAAACTGATTCAATTAGCTCAATTCATAGTCCTAGGAATAAAAATACCACGAAAGAGGATAAAAAGTTGCATGTTAAAGTAAGCGATCAGACACAATTGGTCAAATATACACGTTATCATACCAAAGTTTATCTTTTTCAAATCTTGACAGTTCACGATCTTCAGAGTCAGGAGGGGGGGGGGGGGGGCAAATAGACTGGTTTATGTTTCTCGTGTTTAGCTGATACCTTTTTTGTATGATATGCTAAAGAAGTAATTTTAGAAGAATTTATTGCCAATATACATTTAAGTTGACCCAATTCCATACTTCAAATTATAACTTTTAAAACCAATGCAGATAGCATATTTGATGGCATACTGGCGGGAGTACTATTAACACAAAAAACACATTATCATAGTGTTTTTAAAAATCCATATCTGATTCATTTGCTTGCAACTTTCTGAATCCAAGTGGTATTATTATTATCATTACAATTCCAAAATGATAGAAAAATGCTGATAGAGGTTTAAAATTATCGTACAAGAATAATATTTTCAATAAAGTTTCTTTAAAAATATGTTTTCGGGAAAAAACATTCAATTTCTCATATCAATTTGCGAGCATCCTTAAGTAGTGAAGGTTAATATGTCGAAGTGTCAGCACCTTTAGTCAAGTAAGATTTCAAATATTTACATAAACAAAAGCATGTAGACTGTCTTTAAAAGCAGGGGTAAAATTTGAGAAATTCATATTAATCATGGATAACACGTACATCAAAATCATTACATTTTAATTAATGAATAATGAGTTTCATTATCTTTATAATTCTATATTTCTGTATGAAATGCATCTGAGTGTTTGGACCGTGGACCAATTGTCCTAGTTTTTAGCCGCTTACAAATTGAAAATGAATTGCTTCCGCAATTTTTTTTATGTATGTTTATTTGAATTTAAATATGAAGATGTTACCCAAGAAACACTATTAGAGGGATCAAACACTGGAATCATTGTCACAGTTGGAGTTTGTTTTGGATGCTTTGTTCTTGGTGTGGTCGTCAGTCTCGGTATTGTTTTCATCGTTCTGAAATGTAGATCCCAAGGAAATCAAAACAAGTAAAATATAATTTCTTATGATGAATTTTATGAATAAAAAAGTTCTTAATTTAGTAATGCAATTGATTTTATCAATAAAATTCTAAATTTACAAGTTTACAACATGTACTCTGAAAAATGTGTAAAATATAAAAGTGTAAAATAAGTACAAGTTCTAACAGATTCGGAGCTTGTTCAGGAAGCAATAAAATAATAATATAATCATTAAAGTTTGATATTTTTATACTTTTTAATTTTTATGCAAAATATATAACTTGAATTGTAAGAAGGAAAGTGGGACAATAGCAGTTCTCTAGTTTTGAGCAATATTTCTTGAAGAAAATGAAATTGTGTCTAATTATTGTTATAGTGATATAAGTAATAATGTTGACAATCCGACATATAACAAACACATTGAATGTGGAGAATCCAGTCAAACAAGAAATAAGCCTGTTACGGTAGATATTTTACCTTTTATCATGAGATTTTTGTGCTGGATATATCGAATGAAAATAAGAAGCTTACTAAGGTTTTAAATAAAGACTTTTATGTCATATTTATTTTCAGGAATAAAAGATTTGTCTTTTTTCATTATTTAAACAAATAGGTATCTTCAATGTCCATGGCTAACAAGAACACTGCTTATTCCAGCGTACAAATGTTTTCGGATATTAAAGGTGATATCTACAACCATCTCCATGAACCAGTAACTAGTGCAGCTGCTTTAGATGACGATTACGACCATGCCAAGCCTTTGAAGAAACAAATTAATCCTGATAGCAATTATAGCCACCTCAGTCCAAAAAATAATTGGGTAGAAGATTCCAAAGACAATGATCCGAATAAAGACTTTCCGAAATCAGAAAGATCAGAAGAAAACACCGATGAAAACACTGATAACTATTTTACTTTGGAAAAAATCAATTAGCAGTTGGCAATGTTTGTCTCATTATACATGTATGTGTATATCAGAAAATGTTTGACAAAACAGTAATATTGTTATTAAAAACAAATTTTATTTTGTAATGAATTTTAATATATATTCTCTATTGACATTGAAAGACAGGTCTGTACTTAACTTTCCTTTGTCTTTTGTCTGATCTATATATTTAAAAAGTTTAGGCAAAAGGGTCATTTTTAAATGATGATATTCATTTCCAGCGCCAATTTCATCGCTTATTTTCATAAAAATATACCTTTTTAATTTCCTACCTAGGTTTCTTTATATGAAATATTTCAAGGAGAAAATGACATTGTCCTCGTTAATATGAGGAATGTGTCAAAAAAAGATAATTTGCTTTTTTTAACGAGAGGAATTCCTGTGGACTATCTCGGAAAGAATAAAACAAGTCCTGGTGGACATTAGTGAGAAAAATATTAAAAACTAGTGTATGATGCCCAATGAATGAATTGAGGCTGATGCTAATTTTAGTTATAGTTATGACTGAATGCTGGTACTGATCCGGACTTTTAGTCTAAATTCAATTTTTATCAGTGGATAAATGTATGATTTCATGTACGAAATAATAGAATACGTGTATGTAAATGAACATATCTTTGGTTGACAACAGAATTTGAAAGACTTGGAAAAGGGATGAAGTCTACCCGAGGGAATCACCACGATTGTCTACGATTGTGAATGATTGCTTTTTCGTCAGAACTTAAGCCCTTTTAAATTGATAATATTCCCAAATTGTTAATGCTATATCAGCATTCTAGTTGAAATTTATATCTACAGTTGAGAAGAACAAAATGTAATTCCAAAATCTAACAAGGACATGCCGACATGCCTCTTCCTTGATGTCAAAATTAATGTCTTCGTGTGGGATTTATATACCATATACAGTATTCATATGAATGATTCTTATACTTCAGTCATTAAAATGTGATAGTACAGTGTACTTAAACGTTTTTTACTTTTTTTTTTTTTTTTTAAATTAAACTATAGATAAAATTCAACCACAAGTTTTAGTGAGCAATTGGATGGTGTAATTTCCTTAGTGTATTTTCATTGAATCTTTAATTTGAATTGATTGGCTATTTTCGAAATCTTTATTCAATGATTTGTTTCGATCATTTATATGAATTATAAGTTCCATGTATCTAAATAAGGCAGATCAGTATTGCGTTTGTAAGATTCCATCCATGCAGTTTGTATCATCTGCATCTTGTGTTACTGTGTATGTATTTTGTTTTTCATAAACCAACTATATGTTTTGTGTAATACTTATTATTTTAACTTGATACTTCATTGCATTTTTGTTGTTGAATGTCGCAAATGTTATCAAATAATATTAGTACAAGGGATGATCAAAAAGTTTTGCGAGCTAATTGAATTACTTCCATAAAAGAACGAAAAATAGGTTGCGATGTATATTATTTTCTAAAGTAGTCCCCTCCGGTTTTAATGCATATCTGCTATCGTTATTCCCCTGCGCAAATCACGTGGTACACGCGTCAGGTGACAAGCTTAAAGATTTTTCCAAGTCTTATATTCCTTACCATGCAGGTTATTTTTTATAACAAGAATAGTCCATTTATCACAAATAGCCAAATGTAGGCAACAGAATGGGTGAATAAGGATATCCTTTCCCAGAATGAGCAAGGTGACCACTACAATTCAACTACTCTGTTTTGGGTGCGTCATTTATCCAATGTCGATTTAGTATAGACGCCTTCTCTTTATCATAGCTGATATGGTTAAAAGTCTGAAGTAAATGATATTTTAGGGATTCAATAATTATTGTATTGTTAAGATATTCAACTATTTCTTTAACTGTAACTTGGCGATCTTTCACGACAAATTGTTCAACAAGTACACATCTCTTTCCAAGCTTACTTTTACTGAGCTCCAGATACTAAAACGAACATCATTTTTAACCATCTACCTTCCTTCACTAAAATATTCAATCCAATTAATGATTGAACTTCTTGCAAGTCTTTTGTCTTCATTAACATTGTACAAATTATTATATGCTACTGCAAAGGAATTTCTTAGATATAAGTTAATCTTTACAGCCGTTCCTTTCTCGAGTACGAATGAGTGAACATTTTTTTTTGGTCACGAGTCATCTACATATTGACGTTTTCACATTGTGACGTCATAAACAAAGAGCAAAACATTACTTAACATCTCCTATTTATAAAACATGTTTATGACTATATATGTGTGCCAAATTTCATTCTTATCTGAGTTATGGTTTTAAAAATGTAGAGATAGTTCGAGAACTGTTTGATCACCCCTCGTATAGATAACTAAAAGTGCATACATAACTGTATGATCTGATATGTTTTACATGCATTGAGGTAACAAAATAAATTTTGTATATAAAAGAATCAATTCTTTTTGTAAAGGAAAACTGCCCTGGAAAGAGAGACTGGGCTTTTTGAAATCTTTCAGATCAAAACTCTAACACAGTAGTCTTAGGTACCCTAGACTTGATTTTGCAGACAATATTTCTCCGGGGTAGGGAAGAACATTGCAAATTGATTAACCATGTGGCAAGTTAATGCTTCACGTTGTGTTTTATAAGCTGTGTAATATAGTGTTTTCATGTGTCAAACAATTATAATAATCATAGTATATATGAACATTGTACATACAGAAATCTCGAAAATTATGTAAATGAGACAGCAAAAACTACTTGTTTACATGAACCAGTAGATAGTAGTTTCAACCAGAAGTGTTGGATCAAAGACCATCTTTGCTGAGCATAGCTTTGCTTATATCTGCAATCGAGATACACCGAATTCAATGAAATCATTTGCAAATCTGTTGAAAGCTGTTTGCTTAATGAAATCTGCAATGAAAAGGTTATGGTAAAATTTGCTCAGAAGCAGTGAACACTAAAGAAAATGTGGTTGATGTTTGCTTCTGTTTTGTATCAAAATTAGATCCCTTCCTCAAGATCCAATGAAGTCACAACTCATGGGTGTGTTTTATCAATAAGACTAGATGCAATATGTATAAAATTATCAAATAGTTGAAAGTTAATTTCAAGGAGATGAATTGAAATATAAAATAGTGTATAATCAATTAGTAAGTTTAAAAAAAAATCGCTACTTTATATATGCAGTAAAAAATTGCTCATGAATAAAAAGACTTACTGTTTCTTTTGTTTTTGTTTTTGTTTTTTTTTTATTTATTAAGAAATGCTTATGCTAAGTGACTAAAATAGATCGACTAATTGGGAGTATATGAAAGTTGACAAATGTAATAATGAATCAGCCTCCTTCATTATTTCTCACCTAAATACTTATCCGATTACATTTATATAAAAATTCTGATGGTCAGACTTGTATACTCCTCCCCCTTTCATTCACATCATTAATGTAGGTCATTTCGACTACAGTGACCAGGATTGGTTTTAGTATTGTCTGTTTAAATACCCTCCTTTTCCTGCCTAAATATGAAAGCTTTAAGGGGGTGTAGTTGTAAACTCCAAAACAAGGAAGTAAATTCACAATGTACCTGAGTTTCCGCAGTCATGGAGCAAAGAAGATTTTGGGGTATGGAAAGTTTTACTTAATTTATTCAATATTCTTTGTTGTCTTATATATGACATGCCATAAATACGATTATTATATGTAATGATACTTACGATTGTTGTGACTTATTGCAAAAGGAAAGAAATGAAGGTTGAGGAAGAAATACTATATATAATATTTCTGATTCTCGTAATGTATAATATTACTTTTCTTCTAAGATGAATGTGAAATTAAATCCTCCTTTAGAAAAGAGGAATGGATGACTATTGTTGTAAATCATTATATAATCCTGGATTCATAAGTAAACATGAGTTGTCCAGCCCTCGAAAAGTTACAAGCAACACACTAGCAGATCCCGGATGTACATCATTTATGCTTGTAGAATAAGGAAACTTTGATTTTATAAAAAGGGCAGTCTGATTTTTGTTTATTTAGATTTATATCTTCAGTCCATATAAGTGACTTGTTTACTGTTTGAACAACACCTCCGGTTTAAACTTCCTTTGACCTATCACCACTTATGCATAC